TACAAGTTTGTGAGGATAAGGTGTCCAAAAACCCTTGACAAGATTTACCAGAGGTCTGTAGTGAAAATGTTTGCAAACTGAATAAAAAACATAAAATAAAGAAATAAAATGTAATAAAAATCTGATGGTGGGCAAATAAAATGACAAACACCAAAGCATCTAGAACAGGCAGAGGTGGAAGAGGTGGAAGAGTTTGTTTAATTTCATGTGTTTGGGATTCCACACAGTTTCCACTTATTTAAAAAAAAAACAAAAAAAGTTTGGGATTCCACACAGTTTCCACTTATTTAAAAAAAAACAAACAAACAAACAAACAAAAAAAACCAGCTATAGAGATGTACCAGTGGAAATAGTGTTGGGCACAGAAGATGAACCTCCAAAAATACATATGGAGGTAGGATTTAATAAACAAAGGTGTCTGGTGCAATTTGGCAGAGTCTGTTTGAGGTATGGAGAACAGTCAAACACAGAGATTTAGAACCAGACCAAAAAAATGAAGAAAAAAGGTGGGAAAAATCCCCCTATTAAAAAAGGAGAAGGGATGCAAGGGAAAAGATTCCAGGAAATGCAGAGTTTAATTAATCTAATTAATTAATGAGAAATTGAGATTGATGTGGAAATACTTGAAAATCTGTTGAAGGGAAGCAGCACAAATATAATTTTAAATACAAACTTCCAGCATGAACAACAAAGAGGACAAATTGCTCGTAAAGTTGGAAAGTGGAGAGATCAAGCACCAGGCTTAAACAAACAAAAGGGAACACCTTTTCCCTAAAAGCACACACCTAAATTCAGAATCTTGTTGCCACAGGTTACTGTAGAAGCTAAGATGACAAATTATTTGAAATGGGATTGGACAAGCAGGTGGAATATAAATCATGTTATAATTAGGAAAGGTGCAGCAGAACCTCTGGTCTTACACGTTGTAGGAGATGTGTTTGAAAGCACATTTCAAAATACTCCTGAGGATGGAACTCAGTCTTTCAGTTGCCTTTATTTGCAAAAAAATAGCTTGCCCAAGAAAAAAAAAACATACAAAACTGAGAGGCTGAACACAAAGGAATATGTTATGCCACTTTTTACTCTCCAGAGATCCCAACTAAGTGGYTCAAATGTTTTCTCCTGTATTTATAATTTGGGCAATAAGAACTGCCTTGACCATCCACAGCTGCTGATTCATGTTCATTTCCATATTGCTCTTCTGGATAATTGCTGCACAGCACATCATAGCTCTGAATATTTCAATTAATTTGATGCCTGGCWGTGGACTGGCACATCAGGATATTCCACTGAGGCACTCTATTTCAAATAGGGCTGCAAATTACCAACTGCTGCTGCTCCCACTGAGAGAGTTTCCCAATGATGTGGGATTCTGTCACTCACCCCAATGTGATGTTGAGCTGAGTCTCTGCAGTGACACCCGAGGTCACAAACTACTCCCACATCCACAGCAGCGGCGTCTCCAGGCTGATGATGATGGAACACTCCATCCCCAACTCCAGCTAAATCACTGCAGTTATTACTGAGGCCTCGCAAGCAGAGCCCATGTTTTTGGGTCGAGCAACACGAGTTTGACAGTTGGCTCTGTTTGCTGATGATTAASGAGTGGTATTTGGACAAAGGTAAACAAAAATTCTTAATAAATTGGAAGAGAGTGAAAATTGCCTGGGGCCCATTACCGAAGAAAGGGTGTGATATATCTAGCCAGAATGTGCACTTCTAAAGCACTAAGCTTGCCAATTAGAATACAGAAATGACAACAGCTACAGGCATTAAAGCCTCTGCCTTTGTTACTGCACAAAACAAATGTTTGAGCAAACTACATGTCTTGCCTGTGTACCTCTGCCTATAAACTCTGACTTTGTACCCACCTTTCTGCTTCCCAGAGTACTTTTTGACATTTATTGTTAAYAATAAAYGTTAAGAAAAATGAAATTAGCAGTCATATTGTTTCAGCAAAGCAGCATGAGCATATTTAATAGCCCAAGCCTTTAACCTTRTTCAAAGACATTCAATTTCTCTGAAGTCTGGTTTCTTTAATTATACAAAATTATCTAAAAATATTTTTTATGTTATCAGATACTAATTGTATTGGACAGATTGCCATTCATCTGCTTACAGCARTATTTACTTCCACTGCCATCACTTAACATCAAAACAGTACTGCCTCATCATCACTCACAGTGGAAAAAAATTCTACTCTTCTGGATAATTTTCTGTTTAGGTTGGCCCAGTTAAAGGTATGAGACACTCTTTGGTTAATTTGTATAATTAATATATATAAATACTTTGCTTACCCTTAATCTCTAATTATGATAAACTATATTTTCCAGTTTTAGGCAACCTTCTCTCTACACTAAAGCTGTCTAAATCTTCTCCGAGTTGGGAAGATAACTTAAAAAAAAATGAGAGAATTAGTAGATTGAATATCACAGAGGGGGGATTAAAAAAAATAAAGAGAAGCCAGATGAAGCTTTTACATCATTAATGAACAGAAAGAGATAAAAATCTGTTGAAGTGAAAAAAGAAAGGAATAAAATGTATGAAAATCATAGCACATTTAAGCAAAGGAAAGCTGTGAGATGTTGCACTTTGCTGCCTCTGCAGAGAAGACCTTCCATGGATGCCCCCTCTTTTCTCACACAAACTCATGTAGAAAATCTGGCATGTAYCTTGTCTTGGAAACCTCATATTCAAGGTGAGAAGTCATATGATAAATGAGCTCTAACAAAGGAGTAGGACAAAAAAAAAATACATCAACATGATAAGCACAGAGGAAGGGAGGAGAAATCAAAGGATGTTCCCAGATACAGTTAGGAAGATTAAAAAAAAATACATCCTCTATTAAATAGAAGGATGCATCTCAGAAAATGATAAAAAGTAGGTTTTCTAGCCCCCAGAGAGAGAGAGAAAAAATATTGTATAATTTTAGGAGGATTATGTTTCACTAGAGACATTCATGAATGTAATGAGCTAAAGAAGGGGTAAGGCTGCTTAAATTTATCTGTACAACTGATTGTGCTCCATTTGRTAAAATAATTGTGTCAGTCTCCTCTGTACTCAGAATAAAGCTGATGACTCTGAACCCCAGGAAGTTGCTAAGTATTAAACATCATCTCATGCTCCGTCACATCACTCTCATTGTTTCAGAAACCTCAGCAGCACCTGACATTTACCTTCTCCAGCACCAACGCTGGAATTGCAGAAATGCAATTAGCAAAACTCRGGTACTAGTTACAGAAAAGGTCAGCAATGAGCAAGCTAAAGCTGATAACATGCCTAATGTGCTGCCAAACGTAACAGAATSCCTCCCTGATAATTGATGGTGTTACAGACTGCCAGGAAGTTGATGCAAGATAATCAGATCAACAGGGGACATGCCACCAACGTGAAAGTGGAGATGGTGAAATATTCTTTGATAGAGTTCTGTGGCAGAGGAACTGCTGATGGAAAAGATCTCCCATTACAAAAGGCCATATTTTCAGAAATAATCACATAAATAAATTGGGCAGAAAACACAAATGACAGAAGTTTCAACATATGGCAAGTGCAGAAGCCGTTACCTCATCAAAGGCAGAGCACTTTGTGCCTACAGCCAACAAACAACACACCACYGCCTCTGGGATGCAAAAGACATTTTTTTCTTTTCCTGTTCTTGTAGCAGCCAATGTAAGCAGAAGTGAGAGGGGTTGGTTTTTCTGTTTCTCTTTAACACAGAAATACTCACACAGCGGCACAGGCTCTGTGTTCCTCGTGCAAAGATCTCCTTACTTGTGTCACTAATCCTTCATAAACTAATGGTGAACTTCAAGAAAAATGAAAAGCAATCTAAGTCTTTCTTTTGATAAATGACATTTCATCAAGAGTGCCAATAAATACCTCATTACTGAAAGCAGCAGTTACTAGAAGTTTATGCCAAATACCTCGAGGCAGGTTAAACCTGYAGTGAAAAATGTTTCTGAGACTTTACAAGCACCAAGGAAATGTATATTTGTTGTAATTGTGTTCATCATGAGCAAACACAATCTACATAATTCTCCTGTCTAGTTAAAGACTATAATTTGTATTAGATTCTTTTTTTTCCATTTGATTGTGCCATAGTTATAAGAAATTGTATTTATAAAAATATTGAGAAAAAAGTATCATCATGAACTACACTGGAGTTTCTGCCTCCATATCTTCTTATACTAAAATTCAAATTACAAAAATCATAACCTTCTAGGAATTACCACATCCATATCTGTGATAAGAGAACATAATTTTGAGACTGCTAGACCCAAATTGCAAGGCTGCATTAAAAGGAAAATGCTAATTTTATATTATAGATTTTCCTATAGCTGAGTTATATCAATCTATTTCATGATCAACGTAGAAGGCAGCTTTTCTTTTCATGTGACACACATTGTTGTCTAATTTATTAGGGGGGGAAAGAAAATCAACCATAATTTAATGTGAACCTTCCTGTTTTTCCACTTTATTAGAAGTAGCRTAATGAATTTAGGAAATGACACAGTTTTGGGGCTGGGTGTTATCAACTAACTTTTACAAGCTGAATTTCCTCAGCAGCAGGCTGTAACTTGTATGAAGTATCCRATGTCCTGTCTTTGGTGGTCTATAAAAAGCTTAGCAGAAAACCTCAAACACACACCTGTCTGGYATTTCTCTTCATAAATCCTTTTGTAACCAGCTTCATCTGAACAGCTKCGCCAGAGGAAAGTATTTATAAAATACTACTGACACAGTGCAAAACATTTTTACAGGTGCTTACTTAGCAAAGAAGTTCACAACAYAAGTAAATAACTTTGTTTAAACTGTAAGAAGAAAGGCATGATAACAAAAGAAAGACACACTCCCCCCACAGCTATAGGATAGCAGCAATAAAAGCTCAATTATACTTCCAACTTTTTCCTGACACTTTTTTCCATAATGACCAAAAGTAACTGATTGTGTCAGCTGGAAATGTTCAGTATTCATAAATGCACGAAGGAGAGCACACTCACCATGTACTATCAGGACATATTCTGTGCTGTTCCGGCCAATGGGGTTTTTTGCTTCGCACCGGTACGTGCCATTGTCTGTTTTGTTTAGGAAGCTGATGCTGAGAACCCGGCCATTGACAACCATTCTCTCTGGGTCTGGGAGTTCTCCACCGTCCTTTGTCCACAGGACTGGCTCTGGCCTGTTGGATCCAAGCAGTGCATTTATTTTAGACAAGTGAAACAAGCATGTGCAACGTGCACATCAGAGAAAGCAACATCAGAAAATTACAGATAGTCACCTACCACCAAAGAATATTCTCTGATCACTTGAATTATTTGATCTAATCAACTGTCTGTCACAACCTTACCATCCTGCATGAGAACTGCTAAAGAAAGTGAAAGAACAAGCAGAGAAATAAGAAAGAAGGGGAATAAAAAAGGAAACAGAATGGTACTGCAACAGGCCAAGATCTTTTCTTAATGAAAAGATAATTCTCATGAATTCTCCCTGAATCTGTTTCAGGGCCACAGATGCTTGCCAAGCTCAGTGCAAACAGGATCAGGTGGGTGTAAGTGGTTTGTAAATGGATTCTCACATTACTTAGGCCACTCACATTCATGAGTGAACATGAACAGTATTTTTCCTGAACCAGGCATATCAGTCTCAAAGCAGCACGTGTTACCCACAATCCAAACTTGTTTCTGTTGCCTCATTGTATCACAGCCCATCCCTTTTCGCACCCTTYCTGCATCCTTCCCTTAAACAATTCCCCGTTACACATGCTCCCACAAACAATACAAGATTTAACGTGAAATCCTGGATTTTCCTCTTTTGTGAAGCCTTTCCTCCCGTGCCTGATACACTCACATCAAGCAGGGCAAAGGCAATGCTACCTCACTTAAAGCTGGTAGCTTTTTGCAGTATAACCCACATGTTAATCTCTATCAAAATAGGCAATTGCATGACTAAGTAATAAACCAAAATATAATACACAGTTATAAAATTAGCATCTGGCGGGTTAGTCACTGGCCTTATACAAGAAACAATTTTACTACTTTGAAGCAGCAGTTTAAAGCCTATTAGTTATAATGARTGCTAAGAAAAAGATTTAAACCTAAATACTTAAGTAGAAACATTTAGCCAAATTGTGGTCTTGTGAACAGAAAAATAGTCCTGATGGCTTCAATGACATGATTTCCTTTTGAGCTAGGCAACACATGTAAACAAAGGGATTTCTTCTTAAATACACTTACTTCTACAAAATTCATATTAGTCTTTACAGAAAAATATTATTTATTTTGAAATATAAATTTATACATATTTTTATAATATTTGGATGACAACCTGTTAAAATATTGTTGAACTTATTAATAAGACTGCCTATTCTCCGAAGTTTTTAATTTTTTTCAGAAAACCATATGCTCAGAGAACAAAAGCGAGGATTAAGAACTGATGGTGTAATGGGCCTCATTTGTGCCTTATTATTAATATGCCTTAACATTCTTCCTAAGTGCGCTTCCATGAACTGGTAAATACACAAGATATTCAATGTACACACTTTGTTTCCGCTTAATGCAGGCAGGGAATCCAGATGTGCATGCCAGCACAGAAACATTGCCCTGCAAAGTTCACAGCATTAAGGAGTGATTTGCTGTGATATGTTCAGGTGGATTTGTTCAATTTCCCGGCCAACYCCGCATTGTTTCCCATTTTCCAGCTCGCTGTGGATCCCTAATCCCAGGAGCAGGGACTCTGAAACRCTTGTGCTACAACGTGCACCACTGCCTGCATAAACGGCGTGTTAAAGCAACTTCTGTGCAGCGGTAATTTATGGAACTTAGGCTTTAAATTGAAACTAGATGGCATATCCTGGGGGAAAACCTATAGGATAACAAATAAGTATGAGATGGAGCTGTAGATATAAATTATTCAGGGAGCTCTGTCACATTGTAATACACCAACTGTGGTCTTACACAGAGCTCTTAGCTGTGGGTGCAAAATGATGTGTGGTGGAAAAATCAGGGCTTAGGGAGAGGCAGATCTASATTCTCRGGGTGYTGGGGAAGCTGCTGATGCACAGGGRGCATTCAGCCATCCTGTGCTGYRTTGTGGCAGCAGCAGGGMGATTCCTGGGCAGCAGACCCATGGCCAACACATCCCGGGGGCCRGGCACAGCTCCCTGTCCACCTCCCYRCTCCYGGGCACTGCGATGCCAAAAGCTGCAATTCCAACACAGCCRCAGAACAGAATTCTGCCTGCTCTGCTGGGAAGCTTTGAGACACTTGGTCTAAACAATTTGCTGGTCAGGCAGAAGTGAGCTAAGGACACGAGACGTGCTCGTGCTCCCAGGCCATCACYGTGCTRCGGTCAGCCACAGYGGGATGCTGTTTAAGGGAASYTTGGGAGTACATCCATTTTCTGCTYTCCACTCCTGCCAGCAATCCTTCAGGGGTGCTGCAGGGCACATCTCTTCTTCCTCTTTGTGTCTAATTATTATTTAGAATCTSTGTAACATCTTTTGGAATCTTAGGATGTCCATCAGCTCAGTTTCCTGTAGCAAAGTATTCTGGAAATTTCCTACCTGCCACGCAAAATGGTATTTATTTTTATTTATCTCACACTGATCTCCCAAAAGTGGCAGTGAATATTGTAGGATATGACTAGGAACACCTTGTTGTAAATTATGATAGCCTTGTACTCAGCAGGGCTCTCTCTCCTCCTTTTTTTGTTTGATATGTTCTGAGATTATCAGCAGGGAAAAAAATTACAAGAAAAGAAGAGCGAAGGAATCTTTAGAGCATTTTGGCTATTCTTTGATAATTGCCTCAGTACCTTCATTATCCAAAGTGAAACAGCCTCCCTTCTTTGTCCCAAGGCGCAGACAAGTGGGAATTGCCACAGTTTATCCAACTGAAATTTGTCCATAAGTGCAGACCCAGAGAGTTCTTCCTCTTACCCAACATTTTGAAAGGGATCTTTAGGTTTGACATGCTAAAACACCTGGCAAATATGTACACTCCTAWTATTGCACATTTTTTCCCTATTGCATACATCGCTAATATTGCAGAATTTCAGTTTTTTTAATTTTATTTTTTTAATACTAATGAGTTGCCATGACACTGTCAATTCCTGTGTGRATGGGAACAAACAGGGGTGTCCCCACAACTTCAATTTGTGCTTGCTTTACACTGAATCACATGTATCAGTTTAAAACCCATGTTTCCCCCCCAGAAAATCCTGAAAACATATTCCTAGGATCCCAATAGCTATAAAGTCAGAACAAACACTATGGCCACAAATGCCACTGCACGCTGCCAYCTTCACATCCCAGGGCACTCCCAAGCTCCCTGCCCTGCTCTGTCCTACAGGAGCACACAGCCTACAAAGTACCAAGGCAGGAACACAAGAAAACAAGTCAGTCCTCCCTTTTTTGGATGAGAGGTGCTTTTCCACATCCATGGTTTAATCCCTCTCATGTGCATGTGGTGAAGTGCAAACCAGCTGTGCTGACAGTGACTCCTGGCTTGGGGTTGAAGGAGGGAGCAGAGCTGAAACTCCAAGATTTATTTTCTGCCCAAAAACTCAGCTCTACTTCTGGCTCACTTATTCTAGTGTTCTGCCACTGTGGCATTTTTTAAAAAAATAAAAATAAACAAATTAAGCACGCTGTGGTGAAGAAATACTTCCWAAGACACAGCTCAACTGTGACAGCCCACGGCATTTCTTTGGCTGCTCTTGTCTTGCTTTTGCTGATTTTTGATTGAATTCAGCTACTTATTGGTGGCATTATCAGGACCACGTTAAACTGAAAAGGAGCCAGAGAGCAGTAAACACAAGCATTACGGACAATGACTTCTCTGCCTGTCCCCCAAGAAATCTGAACTCTAGATTTCCTCTGATTAAGTGATAAATGGGCTTAGATTTTGTTATAATTTATGTTTAACCCTAACAAAAAAGTCCATTCAGTGAAAGCCTTGGAAAATGCAACTAGTTTTTAGTATAAAAACGTGAGTTTGTTAACTGTCTTCCCATTAGCCCYAGAATCTGAAATAAACAAAATTTGGTACTATTTTCCAGTCAGAATGGGATTGAAAGGAAGGTCTACAACACTGGTGTGAAGTTCCATAATGTTTCATGTTTTATTTTGCGATACAGGACTTTTCTTAGAAGTAACTGAACAAAGAAATGGTAAATAAAGCAAAACTATCTTGAGAGTAGAAAATATTTTCTTCCAAAGTAAGTCAGAAAGAAAGATAAGGGCAAACTGAAATGTGTTAGAAAAAAAAAATAAAAAAACACAGTCAGGTTTGTTTAGAAAAGAACACTTAGGCACAGCTTTACCTCTTCAAYAAGTGTTTACATAACATGAAAGTCAACAGTTACATCTGTCTGCATTGCATTTTTTGTTATAGCTGAGGACTATTTGAAATTACACAGGTATTTTAAGACAAGTTTGTTAATTTGCTATCCCTTTCTCCCTCCTTTAACCAAAGGACAGTGATGTTTTAGGGTTTTCTTATAGTCCTCAACTCTATTGATACCTTTAACTATAATAATTAACTTACCCTTCATTTAAAAATTATACATATGTCTGTTGTATTGTATTTCCTTTTGGAACAAAGTGAATTTAAGCAATTAAATCCATTTGCACTTGAAAGACCTTGGCTCTATACATTTCTGTTGCCCTTTTCTAATTTTTGTGTACAGAAAGGTCAGGTACAAGGCATTCTTCACTGAGTCCTTAGTAAACAATACTTGGACAACTCACTGACCCATAATAACACACAATAACCTTTTTATTTGCAAAGATAAAGATGGAAGAAGAATTTGAGGAACTAACAAAAAAATTTATAGTTTTGAGTAGGGCCATCTCAAACAATACCTTTTACTTCTCTAAACAGGGATCTACTTGTATTCTCTGAGGTGCATAAAAACATAATCTAGTGGATACACTCAAATGAGTGAAGGGAAAGGTATCACAGTGTTTATCAGAGTATTTCATGTTGAAAACCTGGTGCAATGTCAAAAGACATCTAAGGGAATGATTGCTTCAAAAATTTGAAATCATCAGTTTCTCTGTAACAAGAAACTGCATTTTTAGCTTTGTCAGTTAATCATGCACTTGAAAGTTTAAACCCTGGGGGAAGCCCTTGTTTATATAAAGTCTCAGTCTGCTGAGTCATAGTGGGATGAGCTGGT